GGCTGGATTCGAACTCGCCACCTTAGGTGTATGTGGCTGGCGCCTTAGCCACTTGAGCCAAAGGCGCCGAGCCGGCTTGCTGATTTCTAAGCTGCAACCTTCCCCCATACAGTTAGCACAGCCTGTGAGGAGCTACCAAAACCCCATCTCCTTCCCTGCCACACACAACCACAATAGCCATCAAGACTTGGAAACCAGCTGTGCAAATGGCGGCGGGTCTCAAGGGGTCTAGGCTGACCTCACAGTCTTGAATGGTCTGTTCAGCTGAAAACCATCAAAACAGCGTGTTGATTCCACAAAGAGGTGACTTGTGTTTGCATTTATCCTTTTGTTCTAAAGGCTGTTTTCAAAGTTTTAAATTTTGGTTTGTGGTTTGTTACTGTGTTTGTTTGGTTTTGGATGTGCTGAGTACTCCTAATTCAACCAATTAAACTTTCTCAGACATTAGACTTGCAGCTCACCTGCACAGAAATACTAGTAGGGTTCAGCACTTAGCACCTAAGCTCTTCCCAGAGTTAAAACTTTCTATGACCTTGCAGGTACCAGCCATCTGCCTGAAATAATGACAGAGACCAGCCTGACCCCAGCTTTGTGAGCGATTGTCCAAAGCCCCTTCATGCCATAGTAATTGAGCACCAGCAAGAGATACTGACGACCTGGCTGTTTCTTTTTTGCTAACAAGCTAACGTATAATAAAAATGGCTCTAGCTTGAGGGGGTTATTAATTGCCCCATGACAATCCTACTCCCTCTTTTGGCTTTCTTGGGCTATTTGGGGATTTTTAAATTGTTCCCTAGGAGAGAGAGTTTCAGGGAAGCAAACTTTCTGGAAAAGTCCAGGCTTCTCACAGGGATTGGGAAGTCAAAGGCCCTTTGTTACTAGCTGGCCTTTGGCTGTCAGCCTTCGCTAGGAACCATCAGCCCGAGGCTGGGGCTTCCTGCCATCTGCACCAGGGGATTTTGGATGGCAAAGGGATGAGGAGATACAAACAGAGCTGACTACCGCTGGTGGGGCCAGGGGCAGCGTCTCCTTGTCATCCCTCTGCCGGGCCTGGAATGCCCCGCACTACCCATCACTCTCCAGATATAGGGGGCAGTAGCCCACATGGGCCAAACTCTGGAGCCACAGGGCATGTCACTGATGGAGATGCTACAGCCTCACGAGGGCCACCAGGGCCAGCTTCCTAGGCCTGAGGGGGTTCTCACTGCTGCATCACCTGGGAAGGCCACATGGTGCAGAGTGTGGACACTGGCAGGCCCTCAGTGCGGCTGTGTCCAAGGAACAGATCAGGCCAGGCCTTCCTCAATCAAATGGCCCAGGCCGAACGACCTGTGAGGACTTGTAAACCTGAAGCTAGAAGGTGTGGTGATGACAGTCTCCTACATAAGTGATTTAGTCCTGGCTGCACACCACCATCATCTGCTCAACATTAAAAAACAACAGATGCCTGAGCCCATTTTAATCTGAATTTCTAGGGGTGGGACTTGGGCACTAATAGTCTATACAAGCGCCCCAGATGGTTTTCCTGTGATAAAAGGCACTTTCCAGCCATCTCAGCAACTCCAGTAACTCCGCAGTGAGAGAAGCAAGAGAGCCCACAGTTTGGGCCTGGGCCTCTGATCAGGAAACATCAGGTAACTGACTCAGGCTGTTCACAACTTACTCATGATGGTCAGTGCTGGGGACCTCTTAGAAAAAGTCAGTCTTGCTCAGAAGTTCCAGGGGATTTGAAATGCATGATAGACAATTCTGGAAGTAACAAGGATTTGGTTACATGTGACTTATGGTCAAGGAGGCTTCCATTTGGGGGCCCAACCACATTTAAATGACATGAATTATCACCGTGAGTGATAAGGCAACGCCAACCATGGTTTCCCAGCTGGAGGGGGTGAGCCAGCAAGTTAAGGATGAGACAAGAAGATCCTTGAAGTGGACACAAGCCAAGAACCAGAGATTAAACAGGAAGGATAGAGAATGTTGTGTTTGGTTATTTTAGTTGGTGCCAAAAATGTACCTGGGAACCTGTCTATGAAATTATAGTGCGCAGCCTTGGAAAATGTTTATTATTATGTTTAGCAAAAGCATTACAAGCAATTCTTCCAAACCTTTGGGTGCAAGCAAAGTGTTGCCCCCTACCAGGGAAAACTTGAGAAGTAGGCATGGTGTGGAGTCAGACCCACTTAGAAACTTGTCGGGTGGAGGAGGGGACAAATGAGATGGTGTCTTTCAGCCAACCCCTGGGGTGATGCCCACGAGCTGGGCTAGAAGGAAACCCAGGAGGCCCCATTGCAGCTTCTCTGTGGAAAGTTCAAATCCAGTCTATAAATGAACACCCCAGGGTACTGATGTGCTACTATGTTTAAGTCTTGCAGTGTCTCCTTGGAGAAAATGCATGTGCTCATTGCTTTATGGGTCACCGTTCTTTTCATTCCTTATGTACTAAACACAGGCCTGTCTTGCCCCTTCATCTCTCTTGGTTCCTTGGTGCTTACAGAATTCAGTCAGAAGTGCCCAGGCCTCCTCTGCTCCCCCATAGCCCCCTCTGCCATGTCCCTTTCTGCCTCCATGCTTACCCCAGCCTGCTGACTTCAGCTTTTGGAATCACTTCCCATTGAGGCTGATGAAGCAGCTTGCCCAGCCCAGTGTCGGCTGAACTAGCACCAGCAGTAGAATCTGGATCCCCTCCCTTGCAGTCCACAAGGACCTTCACATGCCAAAGAGGTTGCAGTTATAGACCAGCACCTCCCAGCCATTTCCACCTTGCAGCTCCTGTAGAAAGTCATCTTTGGGGTGATGGAGGAGCTACTCTTGGCTGGAATCCACCCATGAGAGCTCACATATGGCTCAAGGGGTGAGAAAATGGCCTAACCATTTCTTTTCTTTATTTGAGAGTCTCACTATGTTGCTCTTAGTAGAGTGCCATAGCGCCATAGCAACTTCAAACTTTTGGGCTTAAGTGATTCTCTTGCCTCAGCCTCCCAAGTAGCTGGGACTATAGGCTCCCACCACAACGCCTGGCTATTTTTTGTTGTTGTTGTTGTTTAGCAGGCCCAGGTCAGATTCGAACCCACCAGCTCTGGTAGTATGTGGCTGGCGCCATAACTGAGCATGGGCACTGAGCTGGCCCAACCATTTCTGTTGGAGTCTTGATGGTCTCTTCTCCCCATGGTCGCTAATCTCCTTCCAGGTGAGAAAGTAGGCCTGGTTTGGTTTCCAGCTGGGGTGTTCCTAACTCGGCGTGGGGCTGGTGGTGGAGGACCAGCGCACACAGCGGGCATCTGCACAGGTGATCTGCAGCTTTCTGCCTGGTGCCGGGTCACCCAGACTGCAGACCCCTGCAAGCCACTGCAATACTAGAGCCAAATCTACGTGCCATCTGTAAATTATCTATTTGCATTTATCTTCAAGCCAACTTAAAGTCAATTCACATTTTATCTGGCCTTAACTTAGGCCAAATATTACCTATGAAATTATGATTTGAGTATGCTGGCAGACACTTGTCACTCTAATATACATTAAAATATACACAAAACTAGTGAAATGTTTCTAAACTTCTTTGAGCCTGATTCTATTCAAAAACCATCTGGCAGCCATCAGAAGTACAAATACCACAATTAGGGGACGAGCATCACTGTCTTACTGCATCCACATGGTTCAGTCCATCCTCATACACCTGCAGCATCATTCCACTTTTCTAAGGCTCAGTGTTGAGGTGGCTGTCATAGGATCACGCATGCAGAGAGGGACAGGGCTGGATTGGAGCCCACACCCATGAGTACCAATGCTGCCCTCCCTCTGCCAGGAGAGCAGGTGAGCTGTTGGCAGAGTGGCTGTGTCTGTTGTCGCCCGGCCCTCATTCTAGCTACTTTTCCCTCCACAGTCCACGCTGGGCTTCGTGGCCTTGGTGCTGAGCACACTGCACACACTCACCTATGGCTGGACCCGCGCCTTTGAGGAGAGCCGCTATAAATTCTTCCTGCCGCCCACCTTCACGCTCACGCTACTGGTGCCCTGCGTCATCATTCTGGCCAAAGCCCTGTTCCTCCTGCCCTGCTTAAGACGCAGACTCAACAGGATCCGGAGGGGCTGGGAGAGGGACGGCGCCGTCAGGTTCACGCTGCCCCTGGGCCACATGCTGGCCGAGAAAACAAGCTGTGTGTGAGGTGCTGCGGGCTCTAGACACCAGGAGAGATGGTACCCTGAGCCTGTCAGGTTTTCTTTTCTTGATGGTGCAAATGGGCGGTTCGAGGTCCGAATTCCTGGGAGGCAAATGTATACAGTAATATTCCGAATGACACACACGAGTGTGTGATATATATGTATATATATTCCGTACGTATAACAGGATTTGCAATTATATTTACTTAGCTGAAAAGTTGGGTCCTTGAGATTTCAGCATATATATTTAAAAGCAAGTTCCCAATATTGGGAGAAGAGCAAAGTGTGCTATGGTGACATTTGCAGGGATGCACACACACTTTTTGTACAGAAGAGGCTCGTCCCTTGCTGGATTTGATCCCTCTATTCCTTCCACTCTGCTTTTGCTCTGTTTCGAGGGCTCCTGTAGAGCTGGGGCACTAAGGTGGCAAGGAAGACAAGAGCTCTGCCTGGAGCCACCCCAGGTGTATGCAGTGGGCTGAAGCGCCACCAGTGAGGAGGAGCCAGTGGACCCGGGTGGCAGGGAGCCCTGACTCTGTGCCTGGGCAGTGGTGGGAGGGTGGGGACAGGGCTGAAGCCATTCTACCTAATCCTTCCTGAGCTGGAGAGATTTTTTCTCTGCAAGTCAGAAATCACCATGGAGCCTGCAAATTGACGCTCCTGTGAGAGTGTGAAGTCACCTCCTTGCCAGAGACATTAATGAACCCAGCCTCAAGAAAAAGTGTAATTTCTTTCCCTCCTTTAAGTTGGTGATGACTGCTTTTTAAACCACTGTGCCTTCTCACTTTTTCCATCATTAGTTTGAACATCTCCCAGGAAGACCTGGAGCAAACCCGTTAGAAATCAGTCCAAGGGGGAGAGGAAGAGCCCATAAGAGCTCACTAGGCAATGGAGTTGAGCCCTTTCACGACCCTGCCTGGGGCCTGAAGGACTGTGTTCATTAAGTCAGTTCTGTGGGAAGCACTGGGGACCCCTTCTAATGTCCTCTGCTGCTGCTGGGCAGAGAACCTGCCTTCCAAGCACCCAGAAAACCACCCTGGTTCCAACTTCTGATGAGTATACATTTCAGAATGGAGGTGGGAAGGGGGAGGGTCATCTTTGCCAAAGCTATAAACCTAAAGTACAGACCCCAGCCAGGGCCCCAGGACACTTGTCCTCCACTCCTATGCCACCCACGACAGGTTCCTACCAAAACCAGTTGGTCTCCCCTGTAGAGAAATGCTGTTCCTGTCTGAGCTCTCAAACTCCCTGTGGAACCAGGGAGATCTGCCATTGCAAAAGCATCTTTGAACACAAAAGGAGGGGAGGTCTCCGTGGGCCCTAAGCCATCTTCTGATGGGACAAAGAGAGTAGGGCCGACAAAGGCTGACCAGAGGGGCCCAGGACTCTGGGAGGTGGAGGCAGGTGGATTACCAGGTCTCAGGAGGTTGAGACCAGCCTGAACAAAAGCGAGGCCCTGTCTCTACTAAAAATAGAAAAACTAGCCGGATGTTGTAGACTTGTAGTCCCAGCTACTCAGGAGGCTGAGACAAGAGGATGTCTTGAGCCCAGGAGTTTGAGGTTGCTATGAGTTATGATGCCACAGCACTCTTCCCAGGGTGACAGAGTGACACTGTGTAAAGGAAAAAAAAAAATGGCTGACCAGAGGGAGCCATGAGACGATATTCCCCTGCCTCCTCAGGGAGCTACATGGGCTCACAGCTGTGAAGTACATTAGGATCCTTCAGGGAAACGAAGGGGGAAGGGGCAGCCCAGTGAAAAAGCATCTCATTAGGCCTGAGACTGGTGGAGGGAAGGCCACGCCTCGAAACTCTCTGCTTCCTGCAGATGTTTTCCATCTGCTGCCCTACGGCTGAGTAGCAGAAGCTTGTCTCTGCCAGCACTAATGGAGCATCAGCTGTGCCCCACCGAGAGCCTTGCTGAGAACAAGATAGGTGAAGCAGAGATGTTAGCATTTGATGGCATAGGAGGGCCCAATTACCTGCCAATGGGAAGCAGAGAATATGGGCAATGGAAACTCACCAGTGATCCCCAACTCCAGTGGGTACTGGCCACCTTCCGTATCTGACACTCCCTGGCCAGGTGGTTGCTTATATCAAAGATGCCGACACAGAGCAAAGGCCAGTGTACTTGCTCCCTTCCCCATTCACTTGCTGAAGGCATCATCAGGAGGGAAGCAGTTCCAAAGTGGGGGGCAAGTTCCACCACTGATAGCCTGTCATCTACCAGCTGGACAGCTGGCTCACAGAAGGCAGGTGGAATGAGTGCTGGGCCCTGATCTGTGACTGCTGCCACTCTTCCCTACCTCACCAGGCAGCTGGTGACAGCATCCCCAAGAACACATCACTCCCTGCAGTCTTGTAAATTCTCTGTGCCTCTGGGTACACAAGTGCCTCAACCAACATACTCCAGAAATCCTGAATGCCATGGTCTGAGGTTAACATCTAAAATCTACGCCATTGAAAGAATCTGTGTATTTTTTTTTTAACTTTATAAACCTTGTCTAAAAAGCGGCAAAAATAAACACCTAACCCTCCATGAATTTCAGGCTTTCATTTCTGCCATAGGGGTCACCTGCCTACTTGCTCACTGACCGGCCTGCAGCCTTCTGATTGGAGTCTGTAGTCAGGTGGTAGAGTGCAAGGTGTTGGGGCCGCCAGGGTGGATGTGGAATCATCTGTGCTGGAGCTGGCCACTGAGGAAGGACAGACATGCAGACCTACTGTGGCAGGCCAGGGAGGAAGTGGGTGGATCCAGGAGGCAAGGTGTGCAGTGAGGGATGGGGACCTGGAAGAAGTATCCCAGGCCAGCCAGTACAGGGAGGGGTCCCTGGAGCCGTCTGAAGGCTGAGGGCCTGAGAGTAGGTATGTGCAGCAGCACTTCAAGTAGGAGGCGACCATGAGTCTCTTAGGGATGTGGTTCAAATGCAGATTCTGACTCATGGGTCCGGGGTGAAAACCAGATTGTGCTTTTTTTATTTTTTGAGACAGAGTCTCACTATATCACCCTCAGTAGAGAGCTATGGCATCACAGCTCACAGCAACCTCAAACTCTTGGGCTTAAGCTGTTCTCTTGCCTCAGCCTCCCGAGTAGCTGCAACTACAAGCATCCACCACAATGCCCAGCTATTTTTTTGTTGCAGTTGTTGTATAGCTGACCTCCAGCCTTGGTGTGTGTAGCCAGAGCCCTACCCACTGAGCTACAGGCACCGCTGAGATTGTGCATTTCTAATAAGCTTCTGATGACGCAGAAGGGGTTGCTCCTTGGACACACTGAGGAACAAGGGCTTAGATGGCTTGCTTCCGCCGTGCTGTTCAGTCTATGGCATGCAATCCGGCGCACACACCTCTGCCCTGTGTATCTTCCCCAGGAGCCTACTTCCTCTGGCGGCTCTGGTGAGGTATGAATCTGCAGGCTGCTACCACCACCTTGTCCCCTGAAGGGCAGAGTGGGGAAACACTACATCCCTAGAGCCACCGTCTGAAAAATGCAGGGATTTTTTCAGAGTCCACGTATACCCATCACACGGCCAAGGCTTCCTACCGAAGCAATTGGACTGTCTCACAGCACAAGAGAAAGAAGAAACCCAGTGCAGAAAACAAACTAATGGTTAAAATCATTTCTTGGGAACAATAATTAAAAGGTGGCCCTGCCATTTTGAGTCCATGATAAGTGTTTTTCAAAGAACAAACCATGGCCAGAAAATAACTTCACTACAAAAAATTTTCCAGGTGATAAAATTTCCTGCTTGGAGGCTCACTTTCCTACTGTCTTTCCAAGCTTAATGTTGGAAGAGTTAACTTCACAAAGAAGTAACAAAACAGGTGATAAATATCACTACTCAGGTAGCTCACATAAGAACTAAGGAATAACGAAGATAATTCTTACCAGATAAAGAGACAAAGTTATCATCCACCTATTTGACAAGTTGAATCTTTTCCAAAAGTAATGATATTGGCCCTTGAAGTGAGGAAGTTCTCGTGCACTGGGTCACTTCCCTGCTCTCAAAAAAGCAGAAATTTAGCTTGGAGCCTGTGGCTCAAGAGGCTAAGGTGCCAGCCACATACACCTGAGCTGGCGGGTTCCAATCCAGCCTAGGCCCATCAAACAACAATGACGGCTGCAACAACAACAAAAAAAATAGCCAGGCGTTGTGACGGGCGCCTGTAGTCCCAGCTACTTGGGAGATAGAGGCAGGAGAATTGCTTGAACCCAGGAGTTTGGAGGTTGCTGTGAGCTGTGATGCCACAGCCCAATACCCAGGGCGACAGCTTGAGGCTCCATCTCAAAAAAAAGCAGAAATTCTAAAGCCCATCAAACCATCACCATGTTTTTCTAACACATATTTTGAAAATCTCTTTTAACCAATCTGAAATAATATAACCTACTTGTGCATATAATTTTTAAATCAATTTAATGTCTTAATTGCAACATAAAGTAGAAATAAACAACTTATACTAAAATATACTTATGTATACATGTATAATAGTAATAATGAATAATAACAACTAATATAAGTAACAGTCTTATAATAAATAAATTGGTTTTAAGACGAATACAGTGATATTCAACTAAACACTGTTGGCTCCCTTGCTTCGTAACTGGCACTGTAAGATAAGTACTACAGTGTGCGGGTGTGTGTTCACTGTGAGTGTTTGCGTTGAATGCTGCGAAAAAGTCAAAGAGGGTGAAAGATCCAAAAATGTCAACTAGATTTAGAAGCATGGAAATTTAATGGTGAAAATTTCAGTGGGGAAGTGGGGTCAAATCTAGATTAGGTCTGAGTAAGAGGGAAATGGAGACAGTAATTCTAGACAAATCTTTTGCAATTTGGCTGTAAAGTAGGAAAGAAAAAAGGATTGGCAACTGGAGGGGGAGGGTGCTTAAAGGTGAGCTCATTATATTTTCCGTTCCGATCTGAACATGTTTTAAATGTTCCTGAAAATGGCGGCTCAGCGCCTGTGGCTCAAGTGGCTAAGGCGCCAGCTACATACACCTAAGGTGGTGGGTTCGAATCCAGCCCGGGCCTGCCAAACAATGACAGCTGCAACCAAAAAATAGCCAGGCATTGTGGCCAGCACCTGTGGTCCCAGCTACTTGGGAGGCTGAGGAAGGAGACTTACTGGAGCCCAAGAGTTAGAGGTTGCTGTGAGCTGTGATGCCACAGCACTCTACCCAGGGGGATAGCTTGAGGCTCTGTCTCAATAAATAAATAAATAAATAAATGTTTCTGAGAATGGAACAGGAATGGATGAAGACGAGAGAGAGAGAGAGAGAGAGAGAGGATGAATCGAACTCCTGGAAGACATGGGACAAGATGGAACCCAGAACAC